GGGATCCAAAAATGGGAGTAAGGTCTCCAAAAATAAGCCGATGATTTACTCCGATTTTGGTTTTTTCGAATACTAAAGTGCTGCTTTCTCCGAAAACTGATATTAAATGTGCTCTTTGAAGAAGCTTTCTTAACCGACTTAGATGACTTATTTCTATTTTTTTTCGCCTACGTCTGAGAAAATTACAGCGAATGTAACGTTTAGGCAAACTTATGGGTGATGCTCATCAATTATTTATGCTTCACCATGAGCTCGGAGAGTCAGGGGCTTATTTTTGGAGACCTTACTCCCATTTTTGGATCCCATTTGGATCACTCTCAAATAGAGCTTATACCAACATTCAAATTGTTTGATTATTTGATGATGTGACAGGTAAAATATCAGTGGAAAAATGAGAGCGTGACCAGATAAATGTACGATTCACCTTCAATGTTTAATTAATAATTGTTGTTGTTTCTAGAAAATTAGTAGATAATATAAATGAAAAGGAATTAAATGCAATGACAGATGAATTTGATTTAGAAAGTTATCACTGAATTCAGATTAATATGAAAGAAAACGTTTATTGTTATTACAACGGTCAGATACGTGGTTTTATAACTTCCACTTTTCATATTTATCTATTTTTTTATACAACAGAATTAGTCGACAGTCTTGAAGGCTTTTTTTGGTCAATCTTTCAGTGCTTTTCACCTAAAAACTGTTATGTTGAAAAGTTTATTACAAATTAATTTTTAGTTGATATTATTCCGCTTATCTTATTTTCTCTTATAATTCCTGATTTCTTTTTATATGTAGACTGTCAACTTGTTCTGTGATATAGAAAAAATTTCTTCAGTGAAATTCATTCGATGAAAGTCTTGAATTTGAACAAGAACTGAATGAGAGTGCTGTTTTAGTGAATATCGTGGTACTTGTAGAAGAGCCGAAAAAAACAGAAACAGGAAATGGAATCGTATTCGGTTCTTGTCCAAATTCAAGATTTTCATTGAACGAATTTCACTGAAGAAACTTTTTCTATATTACAGAACAAGCTGACAGTCTACATAGACTACCCTGTTAAAGAAATTTAAGCATAGTAACCAGAGGTCTGCTGGACTATTCCGATCTCACCCCCGTCCCGCGGAACTTTTGACGGGACCGAGACCCAGAGATCTGCGGGACGATCCCGGTCGTGCGGGATGGTCCCGGTCCCGCAGGACTTTCAATGCGACCAGGTTTTTTTTAAAATAGTCTAGTATGAAGCATAAAAATTCCTTAGTTTCTGTGCTTGTTTGTATGTAGATACCAGTTCTGCAAGAAAGAACTCATAGAAAATTCTAAAAGTCTTCAGTTAATACCACTCACGCATGCTGTTCCACGAGTCACATTACAACCCGCTGACTTTCAAACTATCAGTGTTACTTTGGAAAAATATTTACGGTACCACGGGACCGGGACCGGAACCAAAAAAGTTTAGTCCCGCATGCCTCTAATAGTAACGGGTGACCCAGATTAAACTGGTCACTTTTGTTTTCTATTTTTGAGGCACTAAAAATCGTTTTATAACCCGATGTCGAGCTCATTCGACAGAGAATTTATTGCTCTACAAAACTGACTTGATTTTTCAAATAAAACTTTTTTGTCGGCACAGAATTTAAAAGATTAACACCTACTCAATTGTCCAACTGCGACGGTCAGAAAACGCAAAAATGATGCAAAATTTTTAATAACGGTTCTGTCTAAATTTTAAATATGCCGCAAAGTTCTCCGTAAAATTCTACATTTTTTGATGTATGTTTCAGAATTTTAGAAGAAATATTTGTGAGAAAAATGTTTGATGTAAAAAATGTGAAAACACCGAAAAATTCCCGGTTCTGATAGGCCTAAGCCATTGTTCTTTTTTAATTCGAAACAATCTAAAAGTTTTCACTGTTCAACTTATGAGTCATACCATTTTGTTCAGATTTAAAATCTATGTGTAAGGACTTAAGAATAAACATCTCCTAGACCAAGTCTGGCTTTGAAAAACATACTTTTCCAAAACGCATCCGAAAATACCACTGAGTGTTAGTTCGAAGCGTGTTTCTCCTGAACGATAGCGCCAGGAACCTTGAAAAGATCGTGGAAGCATAGAGCACAAAATTCTCTATCGATTGATGTTAAATACTTTACTTTTAGCACCGGACTTCATGAACATAGGCCTATGCAAAACGACAGATGTTTGCAGAAAACAGGAGATCGCAGTTGGACGATTGAGTAGGCGTTCATGTTCTAAATTTTGCACCGATAAGAAAAATTTATTTGAAAAACAAAGTCGGCAGTTTTGTAGAGCAATGAACTCCCTATCGAATGACCTCAAAACTGGGTTTTAAAACGATTTCAAGTGCCTCAAAAACAGAAAACAAAAATGACCGATTTAATTTGGACCACCCGCTATGATTAAAAAGTTAGTGTGTGCCAGTCTCGATTAAAACTGTAAACTGAGACAAATTCAATAACTGGTTTTTAACTCATGAATTGATCTACAGTTTTAGATTAAAATTTTTTCTTTTGTAAAAAATGTTAAACTTCAACGATGAACAGCCAAACTTCGTCAAGGTACCAGTTTAATTTTATGGAATTGCATTAACATTATAATTATAAGGTTTGTCTTTTAGTCTAAAAAGAAATCCAAACATAATTCGAATGCAATACCAGATGATATGGATGATACGCTTGATTCAATGTTGGATAGTGCTTCCAAAGTCTGTAAAAACTCGATCTCTGTACGATTTGATTTTATAAACTTTTTATATTCAATCTAGTTAACCATGTCATTAAAATCAGATAGAGCCGGACGACGTCCGACGATTGAAGCACAAAGTGGATGGATGGAACTGAGCGGAGATCCAGGAGATAAGTGAGTTTGTTGACAGTTTAATTGTTTCTCCGTAATATATGACTTTTTCTATAGTGAACCAATTCGACCACCACTTTTCGTACCAAGAACGTCTCGACAGCGAGCAGAAGAAATTGTTATTAATGGTGCGAGAGTGTGGATGAATATTTCAATGAGTCTACAGCTTATGTTATTCATCTTTAATTATTGTAGATATTCCAACTATTCCAACGGACGACGCTGATGGTGATGAATCACTCGATATGGCTCCGCAAATGGCTGATGCACCTGAGTACGTCTGCTCACTATATCGATATTCTCAAATGATGACAACTCATCCTCGTTGTTTTCAGATTTACTGCTCATCAAATAGCGTCTTATAAAGAAATTGAAACAGAATTCCTCCGAGAAAGAGCTAGTCAGTATATTGTAAGTTTGACGAAGAAAGTTTTTGAATTCATCTAAAAAATTCATCACTGTTTTATAGGACAGTAAAACTGACATTGGTATTTTATATCAAAATTTACATTTACAAGAAGATTTTGATGTAGAGGTATAATTATCTTTGTTATTTGTCTTTAACATAGAAAAAAATGTTTATCAAATGTTATTCGTTATAGGAACAAAAAGTATGGGAATGGGACAAATTGTTTACAGAAGTTGTGAATACATTAAGCAATTTATCAACAACTACTGCAGAACAATGATGAAAATGAGAAAAGACTTAATGTTTATAGGTTTATGTAATTATTTGTTGTATTTTTACATTAATCTGCACTGGTTCAATAAGATTCATTGCACTTTACCAGGCATCATAGGTTTTTCTTCTATAATTATACTATTCTTCAGTGGAAAGAGACGTTACATTAGGCAGACGTAACTAACATTGAATCGTTCCTTCATCGTATTGTAATGATAGATTTTAAACTCCCGTTTCCTAAAAAGAAGTCTCAACCTACACAACTACTTCCGTTTAAATACAATAGATGGTGTCCTCAAAGCCACAAACTCGAATTTGACCAACTTTGATTGAAATGAAAGCAAACTTGAGACATTTAATCATGCGTTTAGATAAAGTATAGCAAAAGCAACTCGGAAAACAAGTTTGAAAATTGTCACTCGAGAGTTGCAATTTTGGTCAAACTGCACCATTTTAGAACATGATTTTATCACAGAAAGTTAACGATAATATTATCTCACGTTAGAATGATCAGCAATTGCGCTAATCTAATCTTTATTTGCTTGTCAAGATCAAATATTGTTAACTCACAGGATACGTCTGTTGATGATGAAAAATTTTCTTCTTTTCGTAGATAAATGGAACTAAAACTTTAGCAACGATTTTTCCATCATGTAAGAAAATAGAATAATTTGTCTAAAACGATGCATACCATGAAAATTAAAAACGTTGACTACTATTATCTCTGATTCGATAAAGTTCATCTGGTTCCCTGCACCGGTCATAAATCAAGTTGTTTGTCAACAATAACAAATCATTTTGGGATTTATCTAGAACATTAGCTTGTATTGCATATTCCATACTGGCATAAAAAAAAACTGTTGATGAAATTTGATGTTCTGTCTGGGCAGAAGAAGATAGATATAGAGGAAATGTTAGTCGCTTTTATATTTCATTTTTCATTGACTGCTTATTTCCGGTGGGTTTTCAAATTTTTGAAAATAATAAAATTTGTATTCTGATAACTCGTCTAAAGCTTAGTTATCATTTACGTCCATATAAAAAGTATTTAAAGCCAAGAATAATATTACTTCATACACCTAGTTGTATTTTGCCATATCAAGAAGAATAGATCAACATGACGTTGTTCACAAAGCATCATTTTTGAAAACACGTGAACGAATTGAGATGAGAGTTTTTATACAAAGCACATTCAATCACATCAATTGGTCGAACAAACAGTAGTACTATTAGTCAGCAGAGATTGCCCATTGTCTTGCGTACACTTGATATGTATGAAAGTACGTTTGTACCTAAAACTACACCGTTATAGAACGCGCTGGATTTACAGATTCGTTTATGCGCTAGGCATAGAAAGTTTGAAACTTTGTTTAGTGTTAGGTGTTCACAGTATTATAAAGCTGTTTGTAGAGGACGTCATATTCATTATTACCGATAAAAATCTATCAAAAATGATAAACAAGTTACACATAGATTTACTTAATATTAAAAACTGGTTACACTAATGGTGCATACAAATAAATATTGATAAATGTGAAGCCATCACTTTTCCATTAAGTCCAAACGTATACTTGATCTATAGTTCTTCTCTATTTTCACCTTTCTATTCACAGCGCTACACTCTAAAAAGAAATGCGACTTAGAATCAAATTAAGTCGCAGTAATGTGCCTTATTCTGTGAAAATAAGACCCGTTAATGCGAATTAATTTGATCCTAAGTCGCATGTTTTTTTAGAGCGTAAACGACTTGTGTATCGCGATAATTTCTTTGCTGGCGTTCCACCGATAGTACGTAGTAAATCATAATAACTTTTATAGCGCGATAGAGTTCCTCATTATCACGATATTTGTGGACATTTTTACACGACGTCTCAATATACTGCCAGTTTTAAACCGAAAAACCCTCTATATAAGCAGATTATATAGGTTACCGAGAACGTTTATACATGTTTTGTATATTTTGTTTTAAAGTAAAACTTTTCATCTCACAACTGATTTTATTCCAAAAAAAAAATTAAAAACAAATGCAAAAAATTAATAACCGCCTGCCAATGTTTCTCCTAATTTCCATCTCCCTAAAGCGACTTCATGTTCTAATGCTGGACTTATTTCATAATGGTCAACAAAAAAATGAGTGTCTCTATAAGAATGATTTCCAGTACACTGCAAAGCAGTATTTTTGTGTACGGTACACGTGAAGTTGTTAATATTTGATTTCCATATTTAAGAATTAATGCCGGATCACATTTAATTCTACATGCTTTTTCTAAGGCACGAACCGCATATGGATGGCATGTAACCAGACCATATCCACAATTGTTATAAAAAACATCAATCTTGGATGTATTTCTCACTTCTGTGCATTTTTATTTTGAGATCTTTGCACAGTAAACATTGATTGAGCCTATACATAGAGAAAATCCTTAGATTTCATCACTTAACTGCGCGAGAGTAAAGTAGATGCGATTTGTGCCCCTATTCTCTCACTCACTGGAACTGCTGTGTACTTACTCTGTAAATTAGTTATTTTTTGATTTAATTCTACTTTAAAAATGTTAAAAAAGTAAATATAAACTGCAAATAATTCGAATATAAAAATGGTCTCAAGACCGTGGCAAGAAATAAGTGCCTTATATTAAGACAGTTTTCTCGTCTCGATTAAAATGAGAAGAATACACGTATCTTCAATCATATATGTGTCTATCATATAATAGAGCCGTATCAAATAAGGAATATCTCTATCTTTCCACCTTAGCAAATATTAGCACATGTGCTAATATTTGCTAAGGTGGATAGATAGAGATATTCCTTATTTGATACGGCTCTAATATAGACATGGTGGGTATATAAATTCTTTCACGTTGATAAACGTTAGAAAGTATATAGCCTAAATATATATATTGATAGTAACAAATACACGTGTATCTATATTCACAGGAAGCCGTGCTTCTCCTATAACCGAAATTAAAATGGCCATAGGATAAAAGAAATCCAAGAACAAGTAAAATAGTTCTTGCTTTTTTGCGTCAAGAAACACAAGAAATAATCTTATTGCAGGCAAGAAGAGCAAGAAAGGTACGTCCTGGTTTCTTGTCTCAAGATCTTGGATCAAGAAGTTCTGCTAGGGTAGAGATGTGCAAGCCGACTCGTACCCGTACCCGATCCGACCCGAAGGTTGGGTACGGGTACGAAGTTGCCGGGTACAGGTTCTATTTTTTTTTAATTTACCCGAAAACCGTAAGGTTCTAGTGGAAACCCACAAAATTTTAGTGAAAAAATACAGGAGTTTAGCTAAAATCCATGAAGATTTAAAAAGGATTACTTGCGAACGTAATGATAATTTGATATCTTCAGCCGAAAAATAAAAGTTTGGGGTACAAAGTTGTCGGATCGGGTCGCGTACGGGTACGAAAATGGTACCCGAAAATGGTATCTCTACACTAGAGTTATCCCTTATAACTCCATCGAGATGAGGTTCAATGAAACATGATATATGAGTAATAGCTGAGTGGGCATGCAAAAGGAAGGGTTGATTTTTTAAACAGAGATTGAAGATGAGTACAATGTTCATCAAGTTGACCACCACTTATAATATGGTCGAATGTAGACCTGTAACAGTTCCAGCTCATAAGTTCAGCTCATTTAAGCGAAAGAACTGTTGAACAGCTCTTTTGAAAGGAGCTGATATGTTTGAACAGCTCTTTTGAATTTTTAAAAATTGAAATTTTTTCAACGACTGCTGCTAAAGCTTTCACGCTGAAGCAAGAGCTTGCTCAACTCGAACCACTGGAGAAGAACGGTCATACATTTGCGTCATTCTGGAGAAAATATTCAACTTTACTTCCAATACTGAACCAGATGGCACGTCGATTCGGTCCTATACCCGTGATCTCAGTCCCCAGTGAGAGCGCATTCTCAATCGCAGGCTATGTTGCTCGAAAAACACGGTCTTCTCTCTCAGCTAAAAACTTGAAATATTCAATGTTCCTAAAAGATAAACTTT